AAGGAGGCTGAGATCTGAGGATCACTGTTCAAAGCCAGCCCGGGCAGGAAAGTCTGTGAGACCCTTATCTCCAATAAACCACTCAAAAACCAGAAGTATCGGCTGTGGCTCAAGCCATAGAGTGCTCTCCTTGAGCTGAAGCGCGCAGGGACAGTACCCAAGCCCAGAGTTCAAGCCCAATGACTGACAAAAAAAAAAAAAGGATAAACCCCAAGATATGGACACAAGAGGTTTTGCTTTGTTGTTGTTTTTAATGTACATGTGATTTTTTTTTCTTTTGTATGTTCCTCTTTCCATGGTATCCCCTGTTGTCACTGTATTTGATTTTGGTACCCTGCATCTTGTATATATATATTTATCTAATTTGGGGAGGGGAAGAGGAATAATAAAATGCTGAAACAAGGACAGAGGATGACCCATTGCAACAATGACACTATGTTGGAAATGAACTTTACAACTTTAGCGGGGAGGTGAGGAAGGGAAGGGATAGTGGGGAAAAAAACAAAGGAGGGGGTAACAATGTTTGATAAGAAATGTACTCATTACCTTACTCATGTAACTGTAACCCTTCTGTACAGCATCTTTACAGTAAAATAAAATTTAAAAAAGAAAAAAGGGAGGATAAAGGGTCTGGGAATGGGAATGTGGCTTAGTGGTAGAGCGCTTGCCTAGCATGCATGAAGCCCTGGGTTCGACTCATCACTACCACATCAACAGAAAAAGCCCAACATGGTGCTGTGGCTCAAGTGGTAGAGTGCTAGACTTGAGCAAAAAAAGCTCAGTGACAGTGCCCATGTCCTGAGTTCAAGCCCCAAGACTGGCAAAATAAATAAAAAGATAAGTAAACAAATAAATGAAGGAAGGAAGGAAGGATAAAGGAAGTCAGAAATCATATGGGCAATATTACATCCCAAATCTTTAGTGACAGATATTTTTTAACTGATAAATATATATATATATATATATAATTTAGGTACCATTTTAATGTTTTGATAAGCTCTGATAATGATTGTTTTTCAAAATCAAAGTATAAAAACTGAAAATAAAAGTCCTGCTTTAAAAATGACTTATTCGAAGTTGGGTGTGCCTGTGATCCCAGCACTCAGCAGGTTAGGCAGGAGAATCTCACTTTGAAGCCAGCCTGGACTACACAGCAAGACCTATTTCAAAACAATCTAATTTAAAAAATTTATTCAATTCTCTTGAATATTATGAAGCTACTCATATATACTAAAAAAAAATAAAGTCTGGTGCTTGGAAGGTGGCTCAGTGGTAGAGTGCTTGCCTTGCATGCATGAGGCTCTGGGTTCAATTCCTCAGCACCACATAAGCAGAAAAAGCCGCAAGTGGCTCATGCCTGTAATCCTAGCTACTCAGGAGGCTGAGATCTGAGGATCACAGTTCAAAGCCAGAAAGTCCATGAGACTCTTATCTCCAATAAACCACTAGAAAATTGGAAGTGGCGCTGTGGCTCAAGTGGTAGAGTGCTAGCCTTGAGCTGAAGAGCTGAGGGACAGCGCCCAGGCCCAGAGTTCAGGCCCCATGACCGGACCCCTCACCCCCACCAAAAAAAAGAATCCCTAAGCCAGGCACTGGTGGTTCACACCTATAATCCTAGCTACTCAGGAGACTGAGATCTGAGGATCAAGGATTAAGGCTAGCTGGGCAGGAAAGTCTGTGAGACTCCAATCTCCAATTAACCACCAGAAAACAGGAAGTGGAGCGTGGCTCAAAGCTGTAGAGTGCTATCTTAGAGCAAAAGAGGTCAGGAACAGCACCCAGACCCTGAGTTCAAGCCCCATAACTGACAAAGAAAAAAAATAAAGTATCATCAGGATTCTTATTATAGTCATAATTTTGGAGGAAACAAGGACCTTAATGCAATGCACCATTTTATGGAAGTTAAACCTAGGCTCAAGCTAATTAATTTAGTCAGACATTGGGGTATAGGATTAAACCATACAGTTTGAAGTCCCTTTTGTCACTGTGGTATCTGGAAAAGCTACTCAATTTCAACCTCGGGCTCCTCACCTATAAAACCAAGACCCTTCAAGAAATCCATATAACAACAATTTGTGGAATGTCAAGCATGTGCCAGGCATTGCGTTGACATTGGGAATGCAGGGGTGACCGATACAGATCGTCTGTACTCTGTCAGACACTAGTCTGACAAAGCAAGCAACGTTTAGAATAACTGCAATCAGTGCAGTAAGAGAAGTAGTCAGAATTATCAGGCACACATTTGCAGAAAGCTTCTAGCAAAGTGGCAGAGAAGGCTTTCCTGTGGGAAATAGGAACATGTAACTGCCTAAGAGTAATAATGCTGAACCAGTAATAATGCTTCCTTTACCCATGCATTTGATACACAGAGTCTAACTGACACTATTTTCTAGTCTGAAAAATGCTTCTAGGAGAGCAAGAAATATCACTTGTTTAGTATTACACATTTTCTCATTTTTTTCGTTTTTTTTTTTTTTTTGAGAAAGCAGCTTGTCTAAAAAGGCACACATATTGAATGAAAAAGCAAGAGCAAAAATGTAAGGAGTTTTTTTGTGGGGGTTGGGCATGGAGCTTGAACTCTAGGCCCGGGTGCTGTCCCTCAGTTCTTCAGCTCAAGGATAGTGCTCTACCCATTTGAGCCACAGTTCCAATTCCAGTTTTCTGCTGGTTTATTGGAGATAAGAGTCTCACAGAATTTCTGCCCAGGCTGGCTCTGAATCGCAATACTCAGATCTCAGCCTCCTGAGTAGCTAGGATTACAGGTGTGAGCCACTGGTGCCCAGCGAAGAGGTGGGGGGGGGGGCGGAGAAGAGGAGGAGGGAGGGGGAAGAGGAGGAGGAGGAGGAAGCAACCACCACTGTGGATGGACAGGTATCCCACCTCTATTTGAAGGTCTACTAAAAATAGGGCTCAAAATCAAGTTGGAGCTGGACACTCATGGCTCACACCTATAATCCTAGTTTCTGAGGAGTTCGAAGATTGCAGTTCAAGCCAGTCTAGACAGGAAAGCCCATGATACTTTCTCCAATTAACTACCAAAAAGGCCAGAAGTGGAGCTGTGGCTCAAGTGGTAAAGTGGTAGACTCGAGCAAAATAAAAAAACTTAAGGAGAGAGCTCAGACACTGAGGTCAAGCCTCAGGACAGATATACACATAAAGAAAAATCAATTTGGGAAAACGTGTACTACTTACCTATAAAAGGTCAGTTGCACAACTGAGTATTTAGGTGGCTTTGCAATTAAAACATAAAAAGTATGATCTAAATGCATTACCATCTGTAGTAGAGAAGGCTAACAGAGAGAGTGAATGAGAATGAATATACTCAAAGTAGTTCATTTGCATGTATGAAAATGGAACAATAAAACTTTCTGAAACTGTTTTAAGAAGGGAGAGTGTTAATAGGGAGAGGAATGGACGGAGTAGGTTTTCTTTATTTTGTGTTTTTTGTTGTTTGTGGGGCTTTGAACTCTGGGTACTGTCTCTGACCTCTTTTGCTCAGGGCTAGCTCTCTACCACTTGGAGCCACAATACCACATCCAGTTTTCTGGTGGTCAATTGGAGACTTTCCTACCCAGGCTGGGTTTGAACTACAATCCTCAGATCTCAGCTTCCTGAGTCCAAGTGTGTGTGTGTGTGTGTGTGTGTGTGTGTGTGTGTGTAATATTGTATATATGTATATTTAACATATTGTATATATACATATATATTTATTATAGATATTATAAATGTTATATACTGAGTACATAAAGACTGAATGTATAAAAATACTTTGAAAGAGGGGCTGGGAAGGTGGCTCAGTGGTAGAGTGCTTGCCTTGCATGCATGAAGCCCTGGGTTCGATTCCTCAGCACCACATAAGCAGAAAAAGCCAGACGTGGCATTGTGGCTCAAATAGTAGAGCACTTGCCTTGAGCTGAAGAACTGAGGGACAGTGCCCAGGCCCAGAGTTCAGGCCCACAACAGACAAAAAAAAAATACTTTGAAAGAGACAATAATTAATATTGGTAATACTTTAAGAACTCTAAAGTCTCAATTTTTTTTAAATCAAAGTGATTATTACATTAACTACTATTTTATTAACTACTAATTCTTAGTTCTCTGTAAAATCATTTCAAGTAACAACTGGACTGAGACACAATTTGAAACATAGTATATAATGTTTCTTACAAAGACTGGTTAACATGAACATATGTAAAATATAGTCAGATATATAAATATTAGTATAGTTAACATATATGAATTTAATTTGAGAGTACTCAAGATCCTAATTTTATAATGATGATTAGTTATTAATAGCAGCCTACATGTTGAAAATACATTTTCAGAAAATCTTCATGTAAGTCTTGAAGCTTATTTTTTTAGAAATAAGCTTCTAGAAATAGGCAAATGAGCTTCTAGAAATAGATAAAGAATAATAAAATGTCGCACCCAGTTTCAGCACACTGCAAGTTCTGTCCTCAGGACCTTCACCTGTCCTGTTTACTCTGTTATCACAATACCCAGTAGCATGCCTGACACATGACAGACTTCAACAAATATTAATTTAAAAATCAATGATCAATTTACCATGTAAGATTGATTATGAAGTGTGATTTTTTTTCTTTGAAAATTGGTCAATTCTCTCATGGTTGTTAAAGGCTGAAAGTACATTTTTTTTTTTTTTTGTCGGCCGTGGGGCTTGAATCTGGGCCTGGGCACTGTCCCTCAGCTCTTCAGTCAAGGCGAGTGCTCTACCACTTGAGCTACAGCGTCACTTCTGGTTTTCTGGTGGTTTATTGGAGATAGGAGTCTCACAGTCTCTCCTGCCTGGGCTGGCTTTGAACTGCGATCCTCAGATCTCAGCCTCCTGAGTAGCTAGGATTACAGGTGTGAGCCACCAGCGCCAGGCTGAAAGTACATTTTTAAAGAAAGTAGAAAGAGTTTTATCATTAACCAGAGTGTCATGGAATTTAATGTGAGCACACTGGATCTGAGGTTTATAAATTGTCTCAAACACATACTTGCCATGGCCTTCTCAGCATTGTGTTCTTTCACACGGAAGGGCACCTTTCATTCCGGTTAGGTGGTTAGCTCAGGCCATCATTACTATAGTTCTGAAGTAGCTTGTAGTCTTCGCCTACAAAAAAAAAGTATTTTTTTTATAATTCTCAATATTAGTTAAACTTAGGAAATTTTATACTTTATGCCTTGATCTTATGAAAATTTAATTTCAGGGAGAAAATATTACCTCATAGAAATAAAAAATCAATATTCAAAGGTAGCCCAAATTCAAAACAGCACATTAAAAATGTTACTAATACAGAACAACCAAATAACTATTAAACTGTATTCAAAAAATTTCAAAATGTGGGGCTGGGAAGGTGGCTCAGTGGTAGAGCGCTTGCCTTGCATGCTCGAGGCCCTGGGTTCGATTCCTCAGCAGCATGTAAGCAAAAAGAAAAAAAAGCCGGAAGTGGCGCTGTGGCTCAAGTGGTAGAGCGCTAGCCTTGAGCTGAAGAGCTGAGGGACAGCGCCCAGGCCCAGAGT